ATTGGTTTGGGAGCGGAGTAGTCAACTTCTTGGTTGTAACTACCCAGAGTGTGAAGTATGGAAGCGTGACCAAACCGCCGATCCTTCCATAGCACCATACTTCTTAGTTTGAGCGCTGAATCGGCGGCCGCGTATTTTCCCACCAGGTTTATTGCGGGTAAATTGGTAATCACCTCCAGCGCCTTATTTGGGGTGGTCCTTAAGGCACCCGAAATGCATAGAAACGCTGTTCTTTGGACCTTACTCAATAGTTTTAGGTAACTTGCCTTTTGAGTTGCTGGCCACCATACAAGTATTCCATATAAGAGTATTGGCCTGACCACCGAGGTGTATAGCCAGTGTGTAATACGAGGTGTTAACCCCCACTTGATTCCGACCGCTTTTTTGCATGTGTATAATGCAACGTTGGCCTTCCTTACTCTTTCCTCTATATTAGGTTTCCACGTTAGTTTCCTGTCTAATATGAGTCCTAGATACTTAACATTCTCCTTCAAGGATATCTCCACACCCAAAAAGATTAGCGGGGAGACCATGGGAGGCCTGTGTTTCCTTGTGAAGAGAATTGCTTCGGTTTTCTCGGGGTTTACTCCGAGTCCCCTACTCTCTGTCCAGTTCCTAAGCGTGGCCATGTTAGAGCGCAGAATCTCCATTAGGGTATTTGGGTATTTGCCTTTGACGGCAATTGCCAGATCGTCAGCATATGCTGTGACATGGCAACCCCCCCTCTCTAGTGCCACCAGCAGAGAGTTCACCGCCAGATTCCAGAGAAGAGGGGAGAGAACCCCTCCCTGGGGAGTGCCTCTACAGACCTTTCTGCTTATTGTGGTGTTGCCGAGCTTAGCGGTTACCGTCCTGCTGACAAGTATAGACTCGATCAGCACCGCCACATTCTGGTCAACTCCAAGCTCTTCTAAGGCACCCGTTATGGCGCTTGCGTTAATATTGTTGAAGGCGCCTTCTATGTCTACAAAGGCAACCAGAGCGTACTCTTTGTCGAATAAACTTTTTTCCACCAACCCAACGAGCGAGTGCAAGGCGGTTTCCGTGGATTTGCCTTTCGTATAGGCATGCTGCGCTGGGGAGAGCCTACTTGTTGGTATCACGCCCCGTACATAATCATCCACTATCCTCTCTAAAATTTTGAGAAGGAAAGACGTAAGACTGATGGGTCTGAAGTCCTTAGGGTTGGTATGAGAGGACCTGCCCGCCTTGGGTATAAATGAGACTTTTGTCTCTCTCCAGCCTAGCGGGATGTAGCCCATGTTAAGACAGCTTCTTATAATAACCACAATGAACGGAGAGATAGTACCCCGTGATTGCTGTAGCTCTACCGGGTGTATTCCATCAAGTCCCGGTGACTTGTAAGGACCAAAAGTCTTAATAGCCCATTCAATTTTTTCGTTTGTAATCAGTCGGTTTCCCAGATCAGATAGCCCCCCTTCATTCTGGGGGTCATTAGGTTCCACCGGCTTATTTCCAGGGAAGTGTGTGTCCAGGAGGAGACCTAAAGATTCCTCGCTCGTCGTAGTCCATGAGTTCCCTTGACCCTTGAGATAGCCAAGGTTGCATGGCGACTTTGCAAGAATTCTTCTTAATCTGGCCGCTTCCGTGGTTTCCTCAATTCCCTTGCAGTAACTTTGCCAGGATTTACGTTTCGCATTTCTAACTGCTTTTTTGTATACTTTCAGATCAGCCTTGTAGGCTTCCCAGTCCTCTGCTGCTCTCGTGGCTTTGGCCTTGTTGAACATTGACCTATTAGATTCACGTAACAAGGATAATTGTTTCGACCACCAAGGTGGTTTGCTTTTTCCCCTGTATCGAACAACCGGGCACCCGGCTGACAAAGAACTATTCATGGCTTTAGTAACCTGATTAACCAACCCCTCCAGCTCCACCTGCGTGGCGGGGTCTCGGGGAGGTATCTTTGGCAGTAAAGTCCTTAATTTATTATTGTAAACCCCCCAGTCGGTATTTCTAACATTTCTGAACTCCCTTACTTGGGGGGTCTTAAGATCTATTTCGAATTCAATATAACGATGGTCAGAATACGATTTTTCCTTCAGTACTCTCCATCTCTTGATTTTATGGGCAAACATGTCTGAAGCCAGGGTTATGTCCAAAACTTCCTCTCTACTCTTTGTTATGAAGGTCGGCTCTGAGCCTAAATTCAAGACACTAAGTTTGTTCCCTAGAATGAAGTCTAGTAACGACTCACCTCTAGCATTCGTGTCCGTACTCCCCCACATCAAGTTGTGGGCATTAGCGTCGCAGGAGGCAACCAGTGGTTTGTTCTTGAAGGCTGCTTCCTCGGCCAAGGTCCGAAACCCGTCTGGTGGCACGTCCTTGTCATGGGCCATGTAGGCAGAGGCTACCCAAAAGCTGGTTTTGTCCAGCTCAATGCTTGCCACTACCAGATCGCCGTCACTAAGCTGTGGGAGCAGGAAGATGTTTAAGTTGTTCCTTGCTAATATGCAAGCTCGAGTCTTACCTGCATTTTGTGCGGCAATAAGCTTAAAGCCCTTCATCCCAAGTCCGCAGATTTTATTGCCGTGTATCCACGGTTCCTGGATGAGGGCAACGTCGAGTCCACCGGCAGCCAGGCGGACCTCAAGGTTCGCAGACGCGAGTTTAGAGTGGTGGAGGTTGATCTGGATCAGCTTCATCAGAATCTGTCCGTTTTACCTCCACCATCGTGACATCCACGTCCGCCTCTTCGATCTCCTCACCCTCGGTGTCATCGGCGAGGAGGTCTTCTTCATAAAATAATGGCCCCAATCCGGATAGCCTCTCCGAGTCAGATGAGCATTGGCTGCTGGGCAACCCTTCTTCACCACCGCTGCGCAGGCCGGACTTGTCGCTCTCCTCACTAAGGTCCAAGCTCGGCTCGTCGCTGCGGTAGATTCGAATGGTTGCGTCATTGAACCCGAATCTCACCGTCCAATCCTTTTGCGCCAGTGGGGCTAGCGATTCGGCGTTGAGGATCAGCAACACCTGCCTTCTATTCTCTACTGGCTCCTCTATCTTCCCTACCCTCCAATTATGACTTGGCAGGTCCTTATTACAGGATCTGAAGATCCGCTCAATTCTTTCAGGCTCGGCGGGTCTGGCCGGAATCCAAACTCGAGCCCTCGGTCTGCTAGGAATGTCTTCCTTGTTGACGGCCTCGAGCTTGGCTCCCGGCCAAACTTCACCTACCTTACTAACGGCCAACCTATAGAGCTGGGCTGACCTATGGTCCTCGCAGGCGATGAGTTTAGCTCTACCCTGATACCATCCGGAATCATGGCAGAGAGGAGGAGGTCCAGGATTTTCGTCTAGGACTTGGAGGTAGATTTCGGCAATCGCTTCCTCCACCAACCTCCACTTCTCTTTGGGGATAGTCCCTTCCTCCTCCCCTCTGTCGATGATTGCCAGTACCTCACCGCCTCCCTTCACTACGTCCCTGAAAGTGGGGTATTTATGGCCACCTGTTCTTGGTCTTTTGGTGACCCCACCCCCTGCCTGTTCAGCAGACCGCTGCCTTTTTGGAGCAGAGCCTGCCGGTCTTCCCAAGCTGGCTACTACTCCCCTCGCCCACTCCAGTGACCTAACCTGCTCCTCCGTGAGCTGCTCTGTCGGCAGGTCCCCGATCTTGTTCACGACCCTCATGGCCGCCTTTTTGTCATAATAGGCCTGCTTCGAGGGGCGGACATGTTTAGCCGACCCCCCCAGGCCTGTGTTTGCAACTTTCCTCGAGCTGCTCGGAATGTCGGCAGCATCCTGCCGGGTTATTTTTGAAGCAGGTGCCGAACCCCGCCCTTGGGTTAAGGTGTGTGTGCTTTGGGGTCTGACTTCCCTAGGCGGAGCTGACGCTGCAGCTCCAGCCATGAATCGGTTGGAGACCGGTTTGCCCAAGCCTCCACTCCCCCCTCTGCCTCCTATGGTACTCGTACCAGGACCAGCCCTACCGCTTAAGCCCCCTCTAACTCCTGTCACTGGCGGTCCGATAAATGCCCTGCTCGAACTGTAGCATTAATTGGAGCCACCCCTGTCGGTTTTTTTGGAGGGCCGTCCTCCTTATTGTGTTTTTTGTTGAAGATTGCGCTCATAATTTTGGTCCCACGAGTGTCGGACAATGGAGGTCCGCCCGCACAGAGGTCCGTGTGCGCAGGTAAGGCTTGATAGAACCGGAGGTCGCCAGGTATCCGGAGCACTCCGTTCGAGACTGGGCTATTTGTTAATCTGGGTCCCCAGCCAGGCTGAACATCAGCACGGGTCGTCTAACACCTTGTTCCAACCCAGAGCTTTTTTAAAGAGGTTTGCTCCTCCATCACCTCCATAGGCCACGATCAAAAACCATTTCCATATAACTTAGCTATTGAAGAGCTTAAGCACATAGCACTGATTTCTGATCTTAGCTGGACACCATTCTGACATCGTACAGAACCTAAATTGTAGTGGCCATTACCAGTCGGCACCCTCGTGGAGGGTTCAGCCGGAGGATTTTCGCCGACCAACCATTTCTATAAGAAATCTTGTCAATCAAGTTTAGTCGAAATTTGTATGAAGTTGAGAAGGAAGAAAGTATTTGTATAAATAAGTAGAAATTTTTAACCAACGTAAATATTATGTATTGACAAGTCTTCTATTGCCGAGGTCACAGTATACCAGTAGAAAAGGTTTTTGTTTTTGTAGCTGTTTCGTGGTGAGAGTCCTTTATGGGGACCGAATTTCCCCACAAGAAATTGAGCGCATGGTTGCTTTTGCGTCCCAAAAAAATGAATATTACAAAACATTAAAAAAAAGTCTAAGGTAATACAATTATATTCAACTAAAAATAATCACAATAATTTGCACTTATGAGTTAATGTGATAATCGTGTGTAAAAACTATTTTCAGCTATTATTTTTCACAAATTAATTTTGCGGATCAGATTGCTCTGAGCGCTTGTGTGGAAAATATTGTTTACCAAGAAAATGCAGCCCTGTTGGTTTTTATTTCTGTATCGCATCGCGGTGAGTTTATATTTCTTGTTTGTGAAATGGCAAAAAATTAAATAAATTTATGATTTCATGTATTTACAATTGATTAATGCAAATTTCTTTCTGTTCCGAACATATATCAATTGAATTGGAAGATGAAGAAGTGTACACAAGGTTGGAAAATGAGAACATGAAGCTAAAGGATCGATTAGCAATTTGGAGTAAGGTTAGTCATTTTCAATTTTATATTTTTGTTCGTCGACATTATAGGACATTTTATCATTGCAGGTTATTGTTGCAGAAGAAAACGCTGCAACCATTGCAGTTGTTGCAAAATATGTGCCAGCAGTAGTGCCCACCGCCGTCGGTGCAATGAGGGCTGAGCAAACGCCATCTCCTGGGCATTCCCACAGCTTGCCGACACCAGCTATTATATCACATGTGAATGCAACTTCAGCTAAATTTGATAATTATCAGTGCAATAGTATCTTGTCTTGGGCAAAAGCACTACAGACTGCTGGCACAAATAAATCGCCCAGAGATATAGCCAACGAAATAAATAAACATGATATACAATCGCCACCTGTGGTTATGTTAATGCAAAAATTTATAACAATTTTTTTATATCCAATGTAGGGATTATGCTGTTCGTGTGATTTCCAACCTCTTACGGTCTGGCGTTAACCTACCAACTTGCCACAAGCAACGTATCACATAGATGCACATTGGTCAATTACGTTTGACAGTTATAATAATTATTGGAGAGTCCACTTGTCGTTTGTTAGTGTTTCTGGGGCACGATATTCTACGCGTCAATCACTTGGGCGATTGGTGAACACATTTCGTTATGCTGATTGTGCACTTAGAGGACCTCTTCCCAAATTTTCTGGACGATTGGAGATTTGAAAGACTTATACAAGGAATCAAAAAAGAGGTAAGTACTGTTCGTACTTTGGCTTATTCTGAGTTTCGCCCGAAAAAACTTTCATTCAGCCTTATGCTGAGTTTAATAAAATTTAACAAGAAATCCATTATATGATACCGAAATTGCATATCACCAAAAAACTAAAATACCGTCATAACTCAAAAGACGAGAGTTTTCGGGAGACGCGTTTAATGCGCTTATAAAAAGATATATTACTCATCTGTTTATTTTTTCTTCAGATTTTACGAGGACGAGGAATTCAAGAGACGTGTCTACAATTGCATTGTACTGCTGCAAGGCAGCGACCCTAATCCTACTGTATCATGGACTCAAATATGTGATGTATCCAGTGAAGAATTCCATAGGTGTAAGCTTTTTCGAAGATTTTATGAAAACCCGGACTACTATGGATTCTGCGATAGCCACCAATATGTATTCTCCTTGGGCAAGATGCTGGAGAATCGCGGCAACACAGCCGTATACCTACTCCATGCTTTTACGCGCATTTGCTAAATTTCTTGCACCAGCCAACTTTTGACTCAACTTATCTCCTCTAAAATTGCCTGTAAAATCGTCTAATGTAAATACCGTATTAACAACAAAAATGCACAGTAAAAACGTTTAGTTATTTGAATAAATAAGAGTGTGCCAATGTAATTAATAAGTAGTGTCTAGATGTAACCCGGGTATTTAGTATAGTAAAGATATGTTTATTTAAAAATTATATGATACAGAGTTTTGTGTATGTAATTTAATTGTCCGGCTATTCACTCGACCCTCTTCGCTTGCTCTCCCAGTCCTCACTTGACACTGCTTTATTTGTATGCTGTGTGCCTTCAGTATGAAAAAATGTTAGTTCACCGAATATGTATCGCCGTTTTTGAGAAGATGCGCTGCTGGACCGCGGTTGATTTTCACCTGCAAATTGAACACAGAAATTATAAGCAATGTGAATAAGTAGAATATAAGAAATTATTTAAACAATTGTAATCATTTTGGAACGCACTTTCCACACCACCTTCGAGGTATGCGTTTAGGCGCGTTACCGATTTTTTAAAGGTGTTCGGTTCCCCAGGAGGCATATCTTCACCATCATAACTTAAAGTAAAAAAGTTTAAGGCATGCAATAAAAGAATACAACAAAACCAAAAAATGTTCTTAAAACTATTAAACATAAAAAATTGCACGAGTAAAATTCATAATTTAAATAAAATAAAATATCGCAATTGTTTTTATATGTACATATTTACAAAATGCACCCACAGTAAGTCCTAAACCTACAAATGACTAAAAGAAAAATAATGAATAACAAAAATCCAGAGAAATGTGAACAAGTATGTCGAGAAAATCTGTAAAGAGTAGGGAAACTGTATCTCAATAATAACAAGTAATTTTAAGTGTTAAAAAATGAGTGCGCATTCTACTAAAAATCTTCCAACTGAAGAAGATGAAATTCCGGAGTCGGGGAATTCATACAAACTACCTGTGAGAAATCCACAGAAATTTAGTATGCTTAAAATCAGGTGTACATGCCTCTTTATTGAAAATTTTTAAAGAAAAATATGTTCTGATTCTAATGAAAAGATGTTTCAAAATATCGGGATTACAGTTACTGCAGCAATAATATGGTTCTATAGCACTCATTTTTTCAAATAAAGCTTTTGAAAACCCAATTAAATGGCAACAAGAATCGAAGTTTTCGTTTAACGATTCATCAAGTTTTGCAAGAAACTCAATGAATCCAGAAGGAGCTTTTACACGATTTAAATTGTCATATTCCTTTTCTTTAGTAAAAGTAAATGCTTCTTCCGGAATTTCTCCTTCCTCAAATTGGGGTAATGGTTCCAACCAAGTATGTAACTTATAATATTCAAAATAAATATATCCGCAAAAATATGCAAAAGAGTTCCTTTGCAGAAAGTCGCTTTCAACGACATCAACATCTATACCGTTTCCTATATCGTGATATCTGTTAGGTCTGGGTAAACTTTGAAAGGTTTGCCAGGAAGTGTCTTGAACCAGAGGATCATTACACACCCTTTCAAGGGTGCGAAACGAAAAAACTTCCCATTCGGCGCTAGGCAGAGGTTCGCAATTACCGCTTGTAACAAAATTAACGTGTCTTAGGCCCCAGGATTGCCTGAAAAGATCTGAGAACATGCACGGAGTTGTTCTTGGATTTAATCCACCGCCCCTTCTAATTTGACCAAAATAATGTTCTATTTCGTCCTGGCAGAGTCTTCTGGTTCTTATATACTCGAATTCATGGTTTGACAGTATAAGCCACAAACGTCGCAAACTTTGGATGTTAAGAAGCCAGCCTTTAATAAAGGAAAACTTGTTCGTGATATCTCGACCAAAGAGTATATCATGAACAGTTATTGAACGAAGGGTTCGTTCAGCTTCACTCAAAAAATCGAATTGTTCCGTGCTACCTGAAAAGGGTTGACCAAATTTACGGAGGGCTCCAATCCCGTTACTATTAAAAATATTGAAGAGTTGGTCGAAGAAAAGTACAAATTCGGCAGTATTTAAAAAGCTTGGAGATTGAGACGTGTTTAGATTCCCGGTACTATACAGAGAAAGCATTGCACTAGCGACCGTATTGCTTAGTACTTGAGCAGCTAAACGAACACTCATTTTTTCAAAGGATGTTGGCTTAAGATGTGCCGTAGTCAACTTAGGCGCACATCGTATACCACGATGGGTATCCTGCTGATAGAAATGGACAATATCTGCCCATTGAACAGGGTTACCACGAAAATTAACATTATTTTTATTATTTTCGATACAGTTCCGCGTACTCTTTAGCAGATGGGGGGAATCAAAGAAAAATATAACTTTCTCACCGTTAACTTCGAAGTATGGCCTATCTTCTGCAACCCCTACAAGACGAGCGAAGTTAACAAAATTTGATCCTTGATCACAGACGAATTGGCAGGTATGAAGACCAATCCCCTGGAGTTGAACTATAACCTCAAACACATATTTCCTTATCACATCACCCTTGCACGAGCCGTGCACGAAAAAATAGGCAACGGGCTGTGACCAAGGGGCTCCGCCTATGCCTTGAGCCATAATACATAAAACACTATTCGCTACTCTCGACGTGCGATTCTCATCGCCATAATCTTCTAATCCTATTATAAAATCTCTACTCTTGTCATATTTCAAGTGCGTCTTTAAAGACATTTCATCACAGCATATCGAAATGTACTTTTGTTCACGAGTGAAACCTCGGCTTCGCAACTCCAGAGATCGAATACTGCTAGTGGAACAGCCAGGGAGCCTAGGCCAACCTTTAACGAACGTGGAAAGTGTTGTTGGGGAAGGCCAGTGAAGAAGGGGTCTTAAGTACCTATACGCTAAAGGTGACGTAAACCTAACTCCTAAAACTATTGTTTTTAAACTTCTATCGAAGCGTCGACCAGAAGGTGGCCGGCCATCATTCTTCATGCAATTTCTCACACATACCGCGAGATGTGGGGGAATTTTGCTGCATAAAGCTTCAATTTGCCTGTTATCCTGCCGCTGAACAGGCAAACTTTGGGTCATCAAATTTGAAATTTGTACTTCCTTTTCAACTAGCCTTTGTTTTAAGACTTCTATCTCTTCCTTATATTTGCGCTTCCTAGGAGACTCTTCGCTAAGATGTGCCTCTGTCTGTGTCCCTTGGCTAACTACCCCAAACGTTGAATTTCCTAAAGAAGAACAAGTTGGATGTTCACGAAAAGTGTGTTGAAGAGCCTCCTCTTCTCCCATTCGGGTTGAAAAAACTACTGGGGTGACTTGTTCACTTATATCTGATTGGGACAAGCTTTCTAACACTAATCCTACTGTGGGTGCGCGCAAATTCATATCGGGGATAGCCCCTTTTGATAGTTTTCTGACATTCCGATATTTCGGAGAAAAATGCTTCTGGCACGCATACAGCTCCTTGGCCTCTGTGTTAACGTCCACTCCAAGGAGCCTCATCCATTCCAAGCGCCTATTAAATAATTAAAAGCAGTTAGTCTCTTGATCTTAATTATATATGTCTATAAAAATTAGTGAAATGAAAATAATAAAAATTATAAAAAATGCAAATAAATAAAATAAAATAAATAAAAAATATGAAATGAAATAAAAATATTGATATGCCAAATGCCAAACTCTAATGTCGAATTTCCACAAGGCATTGAAATGAAAAAAAAGTGGAGGCATTTAAAAATGCCACGTGGAAATTAATTTAATTACTACTATTTCAACTTTGTCACTACAATTTTCGGCAATTAATGGCTAGTGGAAATTCAGCAAAAAGCTAAGAAATAAATTTGGATTTTAAAAAAAAAACGATTATTTAAATAAAAACAAATGATACTTTAAATAAAAAAAATTATGATTTAAATAACCAAACTATGATTTAAATAAAAATGTGATGAGCGAAATAATATACCGATACCATTTGATGAAAACTAAAAAAATTCTTTACCAACCTTTTCTTTTATAAATCGTTGTTGCCAACGTTCTGATACTCGTTAAAGTATTTTAATGTTTTTAACACTTTATTGAATACATTCTTAACCTTGGTAACATTAGTTTAGTTAACTATTATTAGTACATAATTATGTTTATTTTCTTACTAATTGTAGTTTGTTATGTAATTTTATGTTTAACGTCTAATGGCATTATTCATAAAAAATTAAGTTTCTTTAAAATAGGTTTATAAATTGAAAAATATATGAAAACGTCAATTTATAAAACTCTTTAAACCTACTTTATTTTTTTATGAATAAGGCCATAAGCCTAATTACTAGAAGGTAGCTGAAAACCTAAGTACATGCATACATGCATGTATATGAAAATACCGATTTTATAATTAAACACTGTAACTTAAAAAAAACTTAAATCTACGACTTATTACTAGTAAGCAGCTGAAAACCGAAGTACATAATAATATATTTTGCTGCTTTTACACTAAATTTAACTCCACGCATACTAATTAAAATTAATTAGATACAAAGAGGAATTAACAGCACGTACCATCTTAGCTATCTTATTAAAAGGTTAAAGCTATTAAAAATACAATAAAGGCGCGATGTTAAAATTATTAATTAAATATAAGTCCACGAAACCGGTTTGATGTGAAAATTTTCGATCATTTACTTCCCGTATCATTCTTGGTCAATAAGCCTGGCGATGATTAAAAATTTCACAAATAAAAAAACATTGAAACGCAATGTGTGCTACATTATAGCAGATTTGCTATACCATATACACACTACAATGAAATTATGGTCAAACTTTATTAACTGGATAAGCGATAAAACTGCAAGACTAGTCCGTCTGGCTGGATTTTAACATAACAAATGTACAAGTAAATGCGAGAGTACCCTATATCTCTTTAAAGTACAAAAACTAAATCCAGACGATGGCTATCGCTTATCCAGCATTCAGTTTAACTAATTTTAATAAACAAATAAAATTAAATAAACATCATACCTTGATACATCCGAGGCCAAAGGAAACTTGTAGAGGGAGCTTACTTCTGCACATCTGCATACACATCTTTTCGGCATTTTTTCTACAAATACGTACATATGTATGTAAATACACAATAATTAAAAAAGTGAACGCAATAATAAATTTACATATTGTACTTACTTGTTGGTTGTTTGTTGTTTGGCCAGAAACTTCCAAATCTCCACGAGGCCGATATTTGTAAAACCTCTGCTAGCACACGACTCACGTGTATTGCAAATACAAAATGTCTAAATCTTATTTAAAAAGAAAGTCAGTATTTCGCTAATGCAAGATTTACATATATATTATTTCACAAAACTCAATATTTTACGAAAACTACGAAAATTTTCCGGAAAAAACACTATGCGCGCACAAATTTGCCTAATTATTTGATATTCAGCTACATCCCAGAGTTGCATTTGCTGCTTCTGTAAATATTTTAGGAAGTGTTCCAAAATTCGCTCCGAGCGCGTTCACTGTTGATCTATTGATTTAAATAGTTGTTTGTCAAGCATTTATTACTTTAGTTTGATCGGAGTTAAAATATTCTTCAGTAATAAATCATATTATATCACAACATAAGCTTATAATAGGTGAGCAATTATTTTCTCTTAATATGCATAATATTTTACACCATGTACCAAAACTCGCCCTAAGCGCGTTCACTATTGAAGTTTTGATTTGAATATTGTTTGTCAAGCATTCAGTAGTGAAGTTTGATCAGAATTTATATATTCTTCAGTAATTAATCATCCTACATTAAAATATAAACGTATAATATGGGAGAAAGTTAGAAATTATTTAGTCTTAATAAGCATAATATTTTTTTCGTGTTCCAAAACTCGCTCCGAGTGTGTCCATTTGATTTAATTAACTGTTTGACAAGCATTCAGTACTATAGTTTGATCGGAGTATATATATTTTTCAGTAATTGATTACTTTGTATTAAAAAATTAACCAATAGTAGGGTAGAAATTGTGAAATTATTTAGTTTTACAGTGCAAAGTCTGCCAGAGACAGTTGAAGAAAACTGCAACTACTCGTCAAAACGTACATTAAAAGCAATGTAGATGAAAGTAATAACTATTGTTATTAAAATTACCGATATATAAAACATTTTACACCAGGTATTTGAAAAAAATCGGAATATATTTTTGCATATAACATAGTTTCCATTGAACGCATAAAGTACATATTTAATTACAAATATTTTTAAGATCACTTCGAATTGTAAAAATAGCGCTAGTTACTTGCATTGAAGTATAAAATATTTTATTACGTTCATTTTTACTTATAAAGCACATACCAATATTGCTCTCGCCATTTAACCGATGTTAAAATTTTTCACCACATTATTTTGCTGCACAGCACCCTGAATACGGCAAAACGGTTGCTCGCAACCCTCAAGTCCTTTATGGGGACCAAATTAACAGCCACAACAACAATAACCTTTTCTACTGGTATACTGTGNCGAGGTTCAAGGTGCAACTAACTTTATTGGGATAAGTAAGAATGACAATATGGTGAGTATGTCGAAAGCTCTTATGAGATAAGTAAAATAAGTATTCGGTACATAGAGGTAGGTAAGTATTTTGAGTAGGCGTTAAGCAGTGTTTGCATTATTCAACTTTGCTTTCAACAATTGCGTTCAACTCAACGCAGGGTTGCACGAAAAAAAAGTTGAATGGCTAAATGTTGGCTGGCGACCAACTTTGTTGACAGCGATTAGTTGAAAGGCCATTCAACCAAAAGTTGAATGCAAAGTTGAACAATGCAAACACCTTTTTATGGCGAATATTTTGATATTTTTTCATATTTTGATATTTTTAGCCATTCAACTTATTTTTCGTGCAACCCTGCGCCGAGTTGAACGCAAATGTTGAACGCAAAGTTGAACAATGCAAACACAGGCTGACTTCCAAAACGTCAATTGCTTTGTATACGTACAAAGTATAAGGTTCCTTAACGTCGAACTACAAAATATTGACAATGTAAACTGTTCCAAAACGCAGCCGATTAGTTATCGAAACGTATCGCTGAGCAAGCAGCGCATCAGAAACAAAGTTGATGCTTCGTTTGTTATTGGTTAGCATTGGTGTTTTAAATATGGAAAATTCAGAAAAATTGTTCATTGCTATATTGAATATTTAAAAAATGCAATGTATATGGTTGCAATGTGTCGCAACTCTGCATATACAAACAGTTTGAATACCGCAGTATAACAGTTTCCAAACATTGTATTGATATGTTTTGGAAGGCAGCCACACTTTTAGGTTTACACATTCTCAATACCTAGTGTGACCAACTATTTCATAGCTCAAAGAAGTACAAGTAAGGTTGGGTTAAGTTAACGCCGCAAGCCGATTACGATATTTCGATACCTGAGAGCTCAATGTTTGTTCAGAAGTGCGAGCCAAACTGCTTCCACCTTAGCCATCGAGGGTTGGTCAGTCTAAAAGAAAGTGTGAAGATGATTCCACTTCATCTTCCTCTTGACAGCTGATACAAAAGCATCAGTCGAAATTCCTAGTCTCACCGCATGAATACCAATCGCGCAATAGCCTGTCAGAACCCCCATCACTAGCCCTTGAGTGGTAACGTGTTTTAAAGTGCCCTATAAAAACATTTGCTGCAGCAGAGAAACGTCTTCTTTTCCTTTTTTATGTATGTCACAAATGTATGCTTTTCCGGCCTTCGGGGTGAACGCAAAACAGACTACCCTCAAAAAGTTGGGGATGTACTCGGTCCTCACGCAGTTCGCATAAATAGGCTCCAACCAATTCCACGACACCTTCAGAGCCCTTTGCAGTTGCGCAGGTATGATGCCATCTGTCCACGGCGACTTTAATCATGAAGTAATTCAAGTATGTACTTTTGAAGTTTTACTGGTACTACATAGTAGGCAATCTTGATCTACAGAAAGTTCAGTGTCTTTAGTTGTAAACGGTTCAAATTCGTTGCCTTTTAAATCTCTAATGTTGCCTTGTCTAACAGATTCACACACTTTTGCTAAAGTTGGGTCTCGTCGTGTTTCACGAGCGACGTCCTTGAAATCAAGACTCAACATATTATTTTGTTTCACGAAGTTAACGAAGGTGCTCTTGTGTACAAGATTTTCATTGCCTTTCATTTGCGGTATTCGAGAAAGATTATCGGCATGATTTGACAAGCCTTTAACATACTCTATTTTATAATTAAACCCCGACAAAATAAATGCCCATCTTAGTAAGCGCGCGGCTGCCATAATAGGTATGCCCTTATTTTCCCCAAAAATTGAGAGTAAAGGTTTGTGGTCTGTTTTAAGTGTGAAAGTGTTACCAATTAAATACTGTTTCAATTTATTGACACTGAATATTATTGCAAGGGCTTCTTTTTTATGTGTGCTGTACTTCTGTTCAGCTTTGGATACAGATCGAGAAACAAACGCAACTGGCTTAATTTATTTGTTTGGAAACTCATGAGAGAGTACACCAGCAATGGCGTGATTGGAAGCATCTGTTGTCAAATTTATTGGTAGTCTTGGGTTGAAATGTACTAAAACTATGTCTGATGGTTTATCCTTTTTTATTTGATCATAAGCTGCTTGACAATCTATTGACCAATGAAAAGCTACATTTTTTTATAAAAGTTTGTACAATGGGATCAACTTGTCCGAAAATTTATCGACGAATTTTGCATAATAGTTTACCATGCCTAAGAACGCTCGTAGCTCTGAGACATTCTTTGGAACCGGTGCCTTCAAAGCTGATTCTATTCTGTCTTTATTTTTGTAAAGACCGTTTTTGTCAATGGTAAAGCCTAAGTAAGAAATTTTTTCTTTGAAGAATTCGCATTTTGACAAATTCAGTTTAAGACCAGCTTGTTGTAACTTGCTTAAGACCAATTTCAAATTGAAAATGTGTTGGGACATATCCTTTCCAGATACGGTTATGTCATATTGATACACAACCACGAATGGAATATCTCGTAATACATTTTCCATAGTTTTTTGGAAAATTGCGGCTGCTGGCTTCCCCCCCCCCCAAAAGGTAAACGCTTCATCTTGAATGCCCCTATATGAGTCGACCATGTACACAAAAGTTGAGATTTTTCATCAAGGACGAGTTGATTGTATGCAGCAGACAAATCAAGCTTCGAGAAAAGTTCGCCTCCTTGAAGTGACGCAAATATTTCATCAATCAATGGTAAAGGGTACTTAAAGTCGAAAATAAATTTATTTATGGTAACTTTGTAGTCGCCGCAGATTCTTAGCAGCCCATTAGGTTTTAAGATAGGAACTAGTGGTGTCCCCCATTCCGAATGGTCTACGGGTTCCAAAACATCATTTTCAATTAACTCTCTAACAGCCGCACTCAGAATCGTTTAATGATTACTTAAGGTGTCCCTCAGTAACTATTTGAAAAAATTCCCTCTCAGAGTCAGTTAATATTCGTTAACGGCATTTAATGAACATTAAAGTTAAGTAAACAAAAACCTTTAGTCTTTTTTCTTTCACTTTCAGTTTCTCAAATTTTTAATTTTTCTGTTTTAAAAAAATATTTTTTTCATTTCCTTTAGTTTTTAGAAAACTTATTGCTAAACGATAAATATAATAACACTTTAGCACATCTTTCAAATAGTTATTCGAAATACAGAAAAGGACTTCCAAGATAGTTAGGCCAGAATTGGCCTGTTATTGGTCTTGTTTGTCTTTTAGCAGACAATTTAATTAAATTAAAAAAAAATTTGTTTCCTTTTTAAAACAATCAAGTCTATAAATCAAAAGAAAATTAGATCAAAAAAGCAAAAACAAATTCAATCAAAATAGTTTATAAAAATTAAACAAGAAAACAAATAACAAATAAATAAAAAAAGAAAAAGAAAATTTTCCTGCCCTAGGACTTGAACTCGGATCTCTGGAATGGCACGCCAGTGCTCTGCTCACTCAGCCATTGCGTCTGTTGAGCCAGTGCGCACAAAATGATATAAATACTTATTTTTATATTTTATTTCAAACTGAACGAAAAAAGTGAGTGATGCCACAAAAATGAAGGGCCGCAACTGGGGCCATACTCAATTTTTTTATTTCATAATTTTTAACTCTGAGAGGAAACATTAATTAACAGATTTAACGATCATTAGTTAAGTGCCCGTTAGAGCTAATTTAAGGAACGTTTCTGAGTGCGGCTGTAAGGTTTTTTTCGATTTTGCTTTTCCACGCCAATGGCACTGGGCGCGGCTTAAAAAATATTGGTTTTGATTCATTATCAATTGGTAGTGAAATTTTTCCGAATTTATAACAGCCTAATCCACCGTCAAAAACCTCTGGAAACTCATTTTTGAGTGGCTCAATAATTATGGAAGATTGACAAGAAATGTTGACTGAATTCACTTGAACGAGTTGAAATTTAAATTTTCTTAAAAAATGTCTACCAAACAAAGGACTGTTTTCATTGTTCGTAACTACGAGCCTAACTCTTTTCTTCATTAAATTAGGTTAGGTTAGGTTGTTGTGGCAGACCCCACCAGGGGGCGTCACCTAGACATTAATTGAATTGTCCATTGTGCTACCACATTTCCACAAGTTCTTTGAACGGCAACTAAAATATTCTGTGTTAGAAGCTAAGAGAAGCGCTGGGTGCTCAGAACAAAGTTCCGCAGGCAGCTGATGTCCACTCCGGAGAGCTTTTCAGGAGTGTTGAAGAAATGAGCACCGAGGTGCTTAAACCTTAGTCTTGCGAATGCCGGGCAGCTGAGAAGGAAGTGTTGAGATGATTCCACCTCATCTTCCAAACAGCTGCGGCAGTGGGGATCTGTGACGATGTTAAGTCGCACCGCGTGGGTTCCTAAAGGATAATGTCCGGTCAGTACACCTGTGAGGATTGAGAGGTGGCGCTTAGCCAGCTGCAGAAGCTCCCTTGATCGCCCGCGGTCAACAACCGGCCAGAAGGACCTTGCAACTTTGCATGTCGGGGATTTTTCCCAGCGCTCGCTGAGCCGACTGTGAGCCCATCTGTCCAGAAGCAGGCCACAGGTTGCCACCGGAACTCCTACGCCCTCCCTATCCGATGTAATGGCCTCGAGGGTGCCCTGCCTAGCCAATTCATCCGCCCTGCAGTTTCCAATGATGTCACTATGTCCCGGTACCCAAATCAGCTTGATTTGGAAGTATTCCGAGGCACTTGAGAGAGAGGTCAGGCATTCCCCGGCCAGTTTCGATCGCACCGTAAGCGATCCCAACGCTTTAATTGCCGCTTGGCTATCAGAGTAGATATTCACCCTCCTTGTTGGCAGGGGGTTGGTGCGTAGCCAATCGGCTGCCTCTTTTATAACGGACACCTCTGCTTGAAAGACGCTGCAGAGGTCCGGCAGTCTGAACATAAGATCTATCGAGAGTTCCCGACAGTAGACCCTTCAACCGACTCTCCCGTCCAGCTTCGATCCGTCCGTGAATATGTTTATTGGACCCTTGTTCCAGAGACTGCCATTCTCCCA